ACTCTGTGCCAGTGTGCCCGCGGGTCCCCAGCTTTGTGCCCGGTGCCGCCCCAGGGTGAGCCAGGGGTGGTGGCAGCACCGGGGGCAGGTGACGCCCAGCGCCTTCCTAAAAAAAAAAAAGCCTTTATTGCCCTAGAAAAGCCCCGCAGCCCCCGCGGCTGGGGACAGGCACCGCGACCGGGGGGGGGGGGGGCACGGGGAAGGTGCAAAGGAGGGGTTCACCCAGTGCCAGCCCCCCAACGTGCCCCCGCGTGCCCCCCAGTCCCAGCCGTGCCCCCGCGTCAGTCCCAGCCGTTCTCCTTCACCATGTGCGACATCTCGATGATGAACTTCCCCTCCTTGTACTTCTGGCTGCTCTCGAAAGCCTGTTCCTGGGGAAAGGGGCAGGGGGGCCGTGTCAGCCTCCCGCACCCCGACGGGGGCACCCGGGGTGCTGCCTTCCCCCAGGGCTCGGGGGTGTCCGCAGCGAAGGTTTGGGGTGGCCAGGGGGTGCCCATTTGGGGTACCCAGAAAAGGGGTTTGGGGTGTCTGGAGCAGCACCCACAGGGTGGGTTTGGGGTGCCCAGGGGTGTCCAGGGCAGAGGTTGGGGATCCCCAATGGAGAGGTTGCAATGCCCGCAGGGGATGGCGGTGCCAGCGCAGGGGCACTCACGTATTTCCAGCCCAGCGTGGTCTTGCAGCTCTGGCAGAAGATGTCGGCCACCGAGTGCAGCCCCGTCAGCAGCAGGCGCTGCTCAGCCGGGCCGCAGCCCACGTTCACCCTGCGCCGAGAGCGGGGTGTCCCACGGGCACGGCAGCCAGCCCGGGGCCCCCCGGGGACCCCCCCCTGCCCCGCCACCGTCCCTGGGGTCCGCCAGTACTCACACGGAGTTGAACAGGTAGGCACGGCCATGGCTGCCCTGGAAGGACTGGGGGGACACGGCCAGAGTCACTGGTCAGCCCCTCACCTCTCCCGGCCCCCCTCCCTGCACGTCCCCTGCGCCCCCCCGCGTGCCCCCACCCTGCTGCACTGCCACCCTGCCAGCCCCGGGGACACAGTGGGGGGACACCTGCCCCCCTGGGGACACTGAGGGGGGGAGACAGTCCCCTCCACGGGAGCACCACGGGGGACACCTGCCACCCCCAGGGCACCGTGTGGGGCGAGGCTTCCCGCCCTGGGGCAACGCTGGCCACCGTGGGAATGTCCTGGGGACACCAGAGAGGGACACCTGCCATGCCAAGGGCACCATGGGGGGTGGACACTGGTTGTCTCAGTGCCACCTCGGGGAGAGGCTCAACACCCCGGGGACACGGTGGGGGTGACACTCGCTGTCCCAACACCCCCCCGGGGACACGGTGGGGGTGACACTCGCTGGCCCAACACACCCCCCCCGGGGACACGATGGGGGGCACCGGCTGTCCCAGTGCCACCTTGGGGAGAGGCTCAACACCCCGGGGACACGGTGGGGGTGACACCCGCTGTCCTGCCCCCCCCCCCGGGGGACACCGCAGGATGTCCCGCAGGAGGACAGTCCCCACCCCGGCGGTGGCACCTTGGAGATGAGCTCCTCGTGGCGGGCCAGGTGCGCCCGGCAGTGCACGCAGCTGTAGGTGCGGTGGGAGCGCGGCAGGTAACTGCGGAAGGTGCGGGGGGGCAGGCGGGCGGCGGGGGGCAGGCG